AGCAATGGATGGTGGAGTCACAGGGGTGACAGGTGACAGTTCAGCAGCAGTCACGTCACTCCCCTCCCTGTTCACATCAGGGATTTGCATCAGCAGTACCAGAACAACCACCTGAACATCTTGTTCCATTTCCCCCTCTCTCTCCCTTTCCTGCAGCTCCAGTGAATCTAGACTGTTCCTTACAGCCCCATATGTGCCCCCTTCCCCTCCCCCATGCTTGGGGCGTGAAGGGCAGCAACCCTGACCTCATGTCTGGTCTCCACCTCCTGAAATCCTTCAGGGTCACTCAAGGTCACAGCATATTTCCCATGGAGAACCATTCTCGTGACTTTAATGTTACAAATTTTTGTCCGAGAATACAAACGGTCTCTGGATGTGGCAGGCTTTGTCTACTGAGAGACAGAATGTGAGTTCTGATTGTGTCTCAGGCCTTTGCTAAACATTCACAGGCCACTTTCCCAGCCTTCTGCCTCCCCACAAAGTACCGATTTATCAAAAATGCCCTTGTGAACAGTGGCTGCCACGCGTGCCCCAAGTGTTGCTATGATCTCACACAGATATGGACGCGCTGTCACACAGTGAGTGTTTCCTGTGCGTGGGGAGCCTTCCGGGTCCCACCATTGTTGTTTAACTTTACCCTGGAAAAAACACAGATTATTTAGTGGGGACTGACACGTTTGTTTAGTGTGTTGCTGGGAACTGCCCGTTCCAGTTATCCCAGGGGCAGCCTCTGCCTCACTGGCTACGAGGCTGTGTGGCCAGCTTATGGGGGCAGCTTAGGTGGGAGGGGCCACCAGGGCTGCTGTGAGAAGTGTTTGCCTTTCTTGCTGACATGCTGAAACAGAGTGTTATCACCCTGTTTCTCAGGCAACTCCATGGGTTGTGTTCCATTACTGCGGTGGCCCAGCCACAGGTGCCTTCATTTCCTGGTGGGCTGCGATGTTGCAGCCCAGAGCAGATAGATCGAGACCCTAGTGGTATTCCTGGCATGCCTGCCTTCCTGGGCTCCTGCCTTCCTGGGCTCCTGCTGCCCCTCGACTTTCACAGTTCTAGGCCTACAGCCTGCGGCGGGGATCCTTCACAGCTGAGCCCTTCTGTCTACTCCCACCGACACCCAGTTGTGATGCTTTTGTGGACAGATTGTAGGTTCTGCAGTGTCCAGGTGGCACCCTGGGTGTGGCCAGGCCCACCTAGGAGTGGTGTTCGTTAACTGTGGCTCCTGCTGCATTCTGTGAATTCTCTGTGAGAGAAGGTAGGGTGGGCAGTCAGGCCCAGGTGAACTGCTGGGGAAGTGGGGTCCACCCCATGGTGGGACTGTCTGAACTTAGGCCATTGTCTGAAGCCAGACTACATGATTGCTGCGTGATCCAAGTCTTGGTGAGCCCATCCAGCAGTAGGGTGCAAATGAACCCTTTGTTTACTGTGGTAGAGCAAAGGTGTGTCCCAGATCACTGAAGCTGGAGCCTTAGTGGGTGACCTTATGTCCACTGAGTAGGATGACAAGGGCCTGCCTTTCTGTGCCAGATGCCCTGCCATGGATCATCTCAGTGTGGTGCACTGTTCCATGCCTTCATTGGAACCCGGTCAAGGAAGGATGGACGGAGGAAGCCCCAAAGACCTGGCCACGCTGAGCTCTGAGGACATGAGCCTCCATGAGTTCTGATCCAGCTCCTCCAACCTGCATTTAAAGTTAAACCCTGAGACCACCAGGCCACAAGAATCTGTCAGAGGCCTCTAAGCACCTAGGTCCTTGGCAACTGTGGTTTGATAGGCACCCAGGCTTCTATGGTTGCTCAGCATCAGAGAGAAGGTTGGGAGGCCTAATCAAAGGTTGTGGGTAGGGGTGGCTGTGGGGTCCAGCTGAAGGAGCAAGCCTCAGAACCAGAGATGAAGATCTGACTTTTGTCTCTGTGACACACAAGGAAAAGAGGGAGGCATGCAACGAGACGGGCGCCGTATGGGCTCAGGATTCCTTTACCCACATGTAGTTATGGTGCCTGCTGGGTGCAGACACCTGGCCAGGTAAGCCTGCAGATGTGCCAGTGCTGTCTGCCTTAAGGTGCTCAGAGCTATGACCAGCAAGTAAGAACCTCTGGACCAGCTGGGTGGGAGTGGGGACAGCCCTGATGGCCTCCACACAGGGGTGAGGAGCTTAGGGCCTGAGCCTAGGCTGGCTGCTCACTCCCCAGCACTGTCTGTATTTATCCTTGGGGTAGGAGAAGCCTCACTGGTGAGCAGGTAAAGGCTGCCTGGTCCTGGTGGTGCATGTTTCTACCTGCAGACCCATCAGTGTGACACAGGACATCCCATTGGGCAGGCTGGGAATAGCTTGGAATGACTGGCATTGTCCAGTGAGAGCAAGTAAGCTGAGGCTTATAGCCGAAGTGCCCTTTTCAGCCTTCCTGGGGCCTGGCCAGTGCTTAGGCAGTGAGTGCTTTGGTTGACATTTTTCTTGTTTGCCTGGCCCTTTCCCAGATCCTTTCTGTGATCTCTGCACTTGAAGCCATAACCTCATGCTACCCCTGACAGCCCCGAAGTGGGCCTTGACCCTGTGGGCACCAGTGTTGGACAGGGTGCTCTGGTAAGCAGCTGTTGGGCTGGGCAGCTGCACCATCTCTGCTGAGGCTGCTACATCTGACCTTCTCTACCTTGATGCTGCAGAGAGCTGCACTAAGTTTGGTTGTCTCTGCCTTGTCTCCCCTTACTTCCTATGGTTGCCTAGAAAACGGCAGCAGGTCCTTCAGTGCATGCCTTGGCACCATGAAGACAGTGTCCTGCCTGAATCACCCCATCGGCCCACAAGGAGCCTGTGAGATAGGAGTGAGGCTGTCTGCCCCCCTGGCTGATGTGGCTGTGGTGACCTGAAGGCACCTTAGGGCCTGATGACCACCTTTCTATGTTTTCTTTGGGTCAGTTTGCTACCAGGAGCTGTTTTAGGCCATGTCAGCCCCTGTGCACCCCAGGAACTCCGCAGAATTCAGCACAAAGCTTGTGTTCACAGCCTGGCTCAGAGATGTCATCCTGTTCCTCTCACAGCGGTGACAGATGCCTGAGTTGAAGAAGACTAGTTAGAGATGGTTCTTTGTAGCCAAGCCCTGTTGCCCCACCATGCTTGGTCCTATTGGTGGCAATGACTGACTGCGGCCTGCAAGAAGCTGGCTCTTGAGAATCTACAAGACATACCATTAGCACTGTCCCTCTCCCCTTCCCTCTCCTTTTTGCCTTACGGGTCCTACATCCAGAAGTGGTGCAAGTTGGGGCTAGAATTTCCACCATTGACAGCATATCCTTAAAAAGCTGTAGCATTCAGTCAGGAGTCCAGTGGTCGCCTGATTGGACAGGTAGCCTCTGAGTGCCTGTGGAGATCTCTGAGCAGAGGTGGCACTTGCCTGTACCCCATCCTGAGGTCAGCTGGCCCTCTGTCCTGCCACCCTGCCTCCATCAGCCACTCCCTGACCTCAGGCTTCAGCTCAGAGACCATGTCAACCAAAGCCCATGGGAAGAGGTGACAGACCTGTCTTTGAACCGCAGCTCTAAGATTTGTACCATGACAATTCTGCTCCTGGCCCTTCTGTTCAGTTCTGGAGCCAGCAGCCGAGACAAGGAGCTGAGGTTGGTGTGTACCTGTCAGCTCCTACGGCAGCAAAAGTGAAGCTAGCAGAGCCCTGATGATCCCCAGTAGGTGCCCCTACTGGCCTTGCACAGTGAAGGTGCCAGGAGAAGCATGGTTGTCAGGCCCAGGCCCAGTCCTGACTTGTGCAGACCATCCAAGTGACATGCAGGCCAGTATGTGAAGGGGACAGTCTCAGCTTGCAGTCCCCCTTACCAGCTTGGTCACCTGCGACACTTGTCCACCTGCAGGTTAGTCTCCTGCACCATGGCTTTGCTGATACTTGCCTTTCCTGCCGCTGGAAGGCTGGATCCAGTGGGTCTGCAGTCCTGCAGATGTACCTCGGGTCTGCCTGAGGCAGGCTCCCAGGACCTGACATGACATGGGGGTTCATGGTGGTCTCAGGTCTCTGTAGGGGACCCCTCCAGGGAAACATCTAATTTAGGTATATCTGGTCACTCAAAAAGGGACAGGTTTCATTGGGCATAGGGCAGGGCAGCAGGAGGTGTCCAAGGTGAGGATTCCAGTTGAGACTGGACTGGGTTTTGGGTAGCAGTAGACTCCAGGATAGGAGCCAGTCCGTGGAAAGCCCCAGCAAAGCAAAGCAATGGGAACTGGACAAACTGGCATTTCCAGTTCATTCAAGTCAGCAAACCTTTAGCCCTGTCTGGGTCTTGTCTGGCTCCTGTCTGGCTCCTGTGTGGCTTCAGGATGGGGGAGAGGAGAACTACAGGTGAACTATTAGGGCCCCCCCCCAACATGCAACCTGTCTGGGTGCATACTGGGACCTCTGGGATGCATATTGTGGACTACTGCACTCAGGGGAGGATGTGGGGCCTCTAAGTGGAGGGATCTCAGCACCTCTAGGACCAGGACCTGTAGAGAAAAGGCATGGCCAGGAGGTACCATGAGCACTCCAGCTGGATACTACTGATGCCAAGCGATGGCAGAGCCTGTGTGTTGGCCGGCGATGCATTCCTGAGAAGTGGGTATCTGACCTATGTACCACTGAAGACAGGAGCGGCACACACAACCTATGGCACCTGCCTGTCACTTTGAAGGGCCTCCAGGGCAAGCCCAGGAACCCACACCCACTGAGAGGCCCAGCCCACCCCATGGGACTCACTCGGCAAACTTCTTATTTCCCAAGCCCTTGATTTATTTTGCTGGCTTCAGATGGGAGCAAAATCCAGCCTTGGGGGCGCAGAGGTCAGAGCAGACACCTGCGTGCCGCAGAACATGCTAGCATTTTAACTGGCTGCTAGCACTAGATTTCAGAGGTGCTGATTTTCAAGTGCTTGGCATTTTGAGGCCCTAGCGGGGCTGCATGTGTGTCTGCATGAGTCTCTACAGCAGTGTGCCTCCTGAGTAACGCCCCGTGTCCCCTCAGGCCTCCCAAAGCAGTACTACAGTCTCACATGGTTCCTGAGCCCTGTCCTTGGCCTCATCTTCACACCAGTCATCGGGTCAGCAAGTGACCGCTGCACCCTAAGCTGGGGCCGCCGGCGGCCCTTCATCCTCGCGCTCTGTGTAGGCGTCTTGCTTGGTGTCACACTGTTCCTCAACGGCTCTGCCATAGGTGAGTGCCAGGGTGCCGGGCCTGGAGACTTGACCCGGCAAGCAAACATGCAGCTCCAGTCATAGAGCTGGCCCTGTGGGACCTACAAGGGCTGCCTGGCAGTGACCATAGTGCAGGCGGCTGGGCAGTGGCGCCAGCCCACGGGAACGCCAGAGGAACCTGTTCACAGGGAAATGCTTCCTGCCAGGCCCGTTTGTTTGTAATGCGTATCAGATCCCATATCCTGTTTCCAGCATTATTTCAGAAATTAGCTTTTTTTGGTTCTCTTTTTCTCAGACTTGATGTTGAAAATACCAAATTTGGTATTTATTTTTTGGTTCACATGCTCATGATTGTTTTGCCTCTTTTCATTGTTTTGTTTTTAATTAAAGCAACTAAATACGGGATTTTTTGTTTTTTGCTTTGAGTGCATCCATCAAAACTGGTAAAAACAAAACCTTGGCTTTAGCACAGACTTTTGAGCTGGAACTGCCTGGCATGTGTTCTGCATCAAAGCAGCTCACCCAGGACTGGAGTCAGGTAAAAGTCGGGAGCGTGGACAGGAAGCCTTCGGAAGTCCTTCTTGGTACTGGGGAGCCACTCAGCTTCTCAGGGCCTCTGGGATGGACATGGCTCTGTGTTTGTGTCTGTGACACCTCCCTTGTGTAGGTCAGCCTCCTCCACCCAGGGGTGCCAGTAACTGGCTCTGGGCAGCAGCCCTGTCCCCTCCCATACAACGTGATGGCCATCTCGTTCTGTGTCCATCATTGTGGCCCAAGTGCTGCCAGTCTGGGCTCTGCCCCCTGACAACCACTGGAGGTCTGTGGGGAGCTCCTAGGCAGAAACTCCCTTTTGAGGCCCTCTTGTGGGTCCACGTTCAGCCTCATCACATCCTTTGGGGTGTTCAAGTTTTAGCCCTGCGGCCACTACTTGTGCTTCAGCACTGTCCTCCACCCCCCTGCTGGCATCAGTGAGACCCAGCTTGGGCTGGTCAGGTGTCCTGTTATGAACTAGACCTCTGGCTGCACAGGAGACCTTGTTTCTGGACCACATAGACTCCCTCCTCAGGATGGTGGGGTGCTGCCGTGGTGCCCATCATTTTCAGAGCCCTGTCTGAAATTCAGCACTCATTCAAGGTCCTTTCTACTTGAGCCTGGAGTCTCCCACAGGTTCCACAGCTCCTGGATCTAGCTGGGTGCCTCGGGTAGCATGGGACTCAGGAAGGGTCCTCAGTGCTGCCCCTCTGGAGCCAGTGCAGAGGAGACTGCCTACATACCCACCTGCTAACTGCTGCTAATTAGCACCCCTCCCCCCATGATGGTGACAGGGGAGCTGCTCCCCTTCCTGCTTGAAAAATAGTGAGGAAAATGTCGAGGTCCAGTGGGTGAGAAAAAGCAGTACTCTAACCCTTGGCACGGGGAAAGAGAAACCCCTTTTCCCACAAGTCTGTCTGCTGCAGGGTCCTCTCCTGGAGACAGGCCTGTGCTGTTCCCAGCTGGCTCCCCACAGAGGGGAGACTGTGTACTCAAGGAGCCCCATTCAGCTGGCCCTGAGGTCTGACTGCTATCTATGCTGTGTCTAGGTTTGTCCCTTGGCGATGTCCCCAACCAGCAGCCCATTGGCATCATCCTTTCAGTGCTGGGAGTGGTGGTCCTGGACTTCAGCGCCGATGCTACCGAGGGGCCGATCCATGCCTACCTGCTGGACGTAGTGAACAGTGAAGAGCAAGACATGGCCCTCAACATCCATGCCTTCTCTGCTGGTAAAGTACCCATCCATGCCAAGGCAGGCTGACAGTGGCCACTCTCTGGGCCCTGTGTGTGGGGAGGAAGCACCCCCAAGTTCAGTGCTGGCCCTCTACACATGGCTCCAACTCAGGCACTGGTAGGCAGAGGGTGTGGCTAGGGCTCAGGAAATACGTAAGGACATGCTCCTGACCACTGAGCCCAGCAGGATGGGGAGGACCAAGGAGCAGCAATGAGGGACAGTCAGGTCAGGGCTGCTGGGGTAGCCTGCTTGCCAGGTAGCCATGGCGAGGTCCCTGTAATGACACTGTCTTTAGCTGTGCTTAGGGAATAGCATTTGCTTCAGACAGGTGTGTGTGTGGGACTGGTTCGTGTCTAATCCTGAGATCAATTTGCTCTTAATTTATTAAGCAGGAATTTTGTTAAATCACAATTCTCAGACCTGGGGCTAACAGGGCTTCTTGTCTTATCTTTCCTACCCTTTTCTCATTCCTCATCCTAAGACCCTGTGTCCAGACCCTCAGCATTACTGTAAGGGTGCCCAGGCCCCCACTGAGGGTGAAGCCCTCCAGTCCATCCTGCCATTGGCCTCCCACACTAGGCCTAGGAGCGGGGACCACAGCTTTCCCAAGGCTCACCTGCTGCTCCTCCCCTCCTAGGCCTCGGCGGTGCCACTGGCTACGTGTTGGGCGGGCTGGACTGGACACAGACCTTCCTGGGCAGCTGGTTCCAGACACAGAATCAGGTGCTCTTCTTTTTTGCTGCCATCATCTTCACGGTGTCAGTGATCCTGCATATCTTCAGCATCCCAGAGGAGCCGCTCAGCCCACAGCAGGATCGCAACTCAGAGGAAGCTGCTGGCCTGTCCAGCGCTAGGCCTGGCAGCACCTTGGCCAACACCTGCCTAAATGCCCTTAGTCAGGGCATGCAGGACAGCAGCCCTCCTTTCCCTGATGAGGTACAGTCAGGACACAAGCTGGCTCTGGACTACCTGGATGTGGATATCATGCGCAGCAAGAGCGACTCTGTGCTGCATATGCCAGATGCCGCACTAGAGAGGGAACCTGAGCTGCCCTTTCTATACAACATCAAGTCGTCCATCTTCAAGGATGCCTTGTATCCCAGCACCCACCACAGCACCAGCCAGGAGCTCCTGCAGGCCAGGCTGCCCCACCTGTCCACCTTCCTCAGGGAAACTACCAAGGAGGATGATGCCTTGCTTGATAATTACTTGAATGAAGCTAGAGTCCCAAATGGAAGTGGCTCCCCACCGAGAAACACACTCAGCTGTGGCACCAGGGTAGACCTGAAGCCCTCAGTCACATCCAGCTCCTCGAGGCGTTGTAGGTGTGCACTCCACCAGAAAGGCTTCAGCACCTTCTCTTACCATGGCAAGATGGGATCCCACTGCTACCGTCGGGCCAGTGCAGTGGTCCTGATCAAACCATCCCGCAGCATGAGTGACCTGTATGACCTGCAGCAGCGGCAGTGGCAGCGCTGCCAACACTGGAACCAGAGTGAGGCTACCACCTCTAGTGGAGTCACAGAGAATGAGGATGGAGAAGGCGAGGGCAAGATCACCGTGCGCCTGCTATGGTTGTCCATGCTGAAGATGCCGAGGGAGCTGATGCGCCTTTGCCTCTGCCACCTGCTCACCTGCTTCTCTGTCAACACTGAGGCCGTCTTCTACACTGACTTCATGGGCCAGGTCATCTACAGTGGGGACCCCACGGTGAGAGCACTGGGAAGGGGTGGCCAGCTGGGCCTCATCAGTGCATAGCTTCTGTCTTCGTGACTTTTCTCATTGCTGAAACTAAATACCTGACACCCAAAGTGGGGGAAAGTTTATTTAGCTCACAGTTTGTAAAGGTTTCTATCCATAATCGGCTGGTTATAAGATAGCATGGCACATGGCAGAGGGGCTTCCTGACAGTGGAAGACTGCAAAAGCAACGAGGGAAAGACCAGAGTTTTTCTGTCTTTTATACTATGTACAGGGTACCTGCCCTAGGATGTAGCACTCACAACTTTCATTCTAGCCAGAACTATGCCAAACCAATTAATGGACTGATTTATTAACCATGTACCCTTAATCCCAGCATCACACACTCTAGATTCTGCTACCTCTGAAAAAAGCCCTGTGACTGTATGAGGCTTTGAGGGGAGGTTTAGATTCCAAGGTTCTTCGCTGGCCACCTGTGTGACCACATGAGGGAGAATGCATGACAGGCAGCTGGCTGGCCTGTACCTCTGTTCCATGGTTCAGTTGTCTGAGCCCAAGACTGGTCACAGTAGGATGTATGGGAAGCAGGTGTGAGTGCCAAGTGCTTTCAGAGGATGCAACTACTCTGAGAAGGCTGGATGGGCAGTTCTTTAACCATCTATCATCTGAACTTTACCACCTCAGGACTTGGCAGTAATGGTAATAACCTGGACTCAGCTGGTGGCTCTTTTGGTCCCCATGACATTACCTGGGCTCACCTCACAGCATGCTCAGGGTCCATCTTCACCCTTCCAGGTCTACCATGGCAGCTCAAGAGGACAAGGTCTCTCCTATGGTCAAGAACAGCCCATCTTTTGGGAGTTGGGGGGTCTGCCTTTTATTCAGGGGACAGCAGATCGCATGTGATCCAGAAGAGACTGGAAGTGACTTATCAGACACTGGATTTGGATTCAGAGGTGATTCTGTTTGCTGTACTCTTAAACATTTTGCCAGTGCCCTAATCCCAACCTCTTTCTGGAATAGGCACCATCCAACTCCACTGAAGGGCAGGCCTACAGTGCTGGTGTGAAGATGGGCTGCTGGGGCTTGGTCATTTGTGCTGCCACTGGTGCTATTTGCTCAGGTAAGAGATGTCCAGATCAAGTAAGTGTTTGCAGCTGGGGAATGTTCAGAGCCTGGAAATACAGAGTATGAGCAGGGTCCTTATTTCTTCCAGGAATGGGTATGCTCACAAGCTCTTCAGGATGTCCTACAGTGCTGTCTAAGCTGAACAGCACCTGTGTTAAACATGTTGTCCCAACCTTGCCAGCTCAGAGCTGCAAGGAGCCCAGGCCCTTAGCCAGGGATCAGCAACCCAAGCAAGAGTCCTGATCTAGGCTGCTGGACATGCCCTCTCACAGTTTAGCTATATCCTGAAGGTGGGGGTCAGGTTGGCAAATTTCCACCTTGGGACCAGTCCTTGTGGCTCACCTCTGGAACTGTAGCAAGTCATGGTTCAGGCTCACTGCCTGTCCACACAATGCCTGACCTGAGGAGAGGAGGTCAGCTTTGTGTAATCCTTGTGAGGACTTGGGGATGGCCAGTATAAATACTGCCATGGTCAGCCAGGTGCCAGCACCAGAGTGACCACCTTGTCATCACCACTGTAGTGGAGAAATTCTTGGGGAGTGCATGGCAACAGGACAGGTAAGAGAGATGCTGCTTACATCTGCTGGCCTAGGTTTGGTTTCTGGAAGGTGCTCCTGGGGGAAGAGGGATGGGCAAGGAGCCTCTTTGAGTGGATGGCTTAATCACTGCTCCTGTGGCCTCTCTGCAGCCCTGCTACAGAAGTACCTAAACAACTATGACCTGAGCATCAGGGTGATCTACGTGCTGGGAATGCTGGGCTTTTCTGTGGGCACAGCTGTGATGGCCATGTTCCCCAATGTCTACGTAGCCATGGTCACCATGAGCACCATGGGCATCATAACTATGAGCATCTCCTACTGCCCCTATGCCCTGCTAGGGCACTACCATGACATCAAAGAGGTACGTCTGGCCTAGTGGTGTCCAGCTAAGGTGACACTTACGTGGCCTCAGGCTGAGTCTGGAGCCTGTCTGGTCCAGAGCCTGGGCTCAGCACCGTGCTCTCCCCTCCACACAAGCTGAGCACCTCCTGCCTGTGGAGTGTCCTGGACACAGATTGTCCCCTCCATCTTCCATTCTGATGAGGCTAGGAGCTGCCAGTTGACCGGGTCAGTCCTTGTCACAAGTCTCCAGCTGCCCTGGCCAGTCAAGAGACTTCTGGAGACTGGTATGGTCACTGGGTCAGGGCTGCGCAAGAGGCTCATTTCTGATGCTCTGCAACCCAGGTGCAAGTGCAGGCCAGGGCTCTGCAGCACAACCTGTAGGCATTTAGGGAGAACCGGAAAATCCATGTCTCCTTTCTAACCCTAAATTCTGTTCACTGTCCTAATCTCTCATGCAGTTATTAAGGCAAATTATTAACTTTGGTGTAATTAAAAGCACACCAAACAGCAGTAGTGAAAATCTAATGGCATTATTTTTTTAACTACTTATCAGTCCAGTTAAATACAAGATGACCAAAAATTGCATGTTTTTTAAAATTTTCATAAGATAATATAATGGGAATATAAAAACATCAATTTGATCAAACTGATTCAGTACAAGGTGGTTGAAATTATGCTTGACCAGAGTGACGCTCGTGGTAGTCAGTACATAAACTGCCTGTGTGATGCTTAGGGTAAATGATTAAGTGGTTAAATGAACTTTTAAATCGAAACATAGCAGATCACTGGCTAAATCATAAGTACACTCTTCACAGCTTTCGGGAAGGGAGGACACAGTTGTTGAAGCAACCCTGACAGAGGAAGGCCATTTCCAGAGGACCCTCCTCCCCCTTCTAGCACCCAGAAGGTGACCACTGCCCTAACTTCTAAGACCATGTATTCCTTGTGTCTATTTCTGAACTTTCTATGACTGGACCGACTGGCTTCTTGTATGTCACCTCTTCCTGTGTGACTCACTCATTACCACTGGCACTTCGTGCATTTCCGCATTCCTGGTGTACCTGTGCTTTCCCGACCACATACCCAGTGTACCTGGGTTCCAGATCGTGGCATCCCCAGTGTGACTGGATCACTTCCCTGCTGTGCCAGTCTTTTCTACTGGCATGCTCAGTGTGTCTTTGGTTTCTCGACTGATTGCCCCATGTGCCTATGGGTCTCTGATCACCCTCCTTTGATGGGCTTGGTTCTTCCAGTTCAGGGCTGTTCTGGACATGCAAACATTCCTCTTCAGCCTTCACGGTGCTTTGTGCTCTGCCACGTCTGCCTGGACAGGTGGTGTGTGTGTGGCTTAAAGTAGCAGATCCCGGTTCTCTTCCTCTGTTTGTAGGGCCATCTTTATCATAAACTGCATATTGCTGTAAAGGATGTGCAGGTGCTTCTGGCCCTTTGGTCTTTCTACTCTTGGACAAATGTTCTACTCTTGATTAATTCTGTAGTAAGTCCTCAGATTCTTTAGTGTAAGTTCTTCACTGAGACTGACAGTGTCCTGGCTACTCTTGTTTATTTTTCACCTAAATATTAGATTCCTTCTGGGCTTTTCTTTATTGAAAACACATTGACTTTATATGTAGGTCAATTTGGAAGAGTTAACAGTTGCATTGTAAACCATTCCATCCACAAGGATGACCTAGATTTCTTTTATAAATCCTCAGTCACCTCTGGGTTATTTTGGACTTTAAATATGCAAATGTCATCTGTGTATAGTTTTAGTTCTTCCATCCTAATCCCTGATAACATTTTGCAATGACTAAAACCTCTGACATGTAAGTAAAAGTGGTGGTGTTGAGTTTGCTTTCAAACTCCAGCAGGTGTCCTCACTGTCTAAGAAGGACAGTGCTTTAAGTTGGAGTTTCCTGGGGATTTGTCCACTTCATCTGAAATTGACAAGTTCTTCTTTATTATGATTTTTTGAACTTTGGAAATCATTGGCATTAAAATGTTTGTATTTCCTTATAACACAACGTGTACTAATACCATTCTTTTCATGATGGATATTAGCTATTCAGTTCATTGACTGTTTTCAGAAAGCCTTTGTTTTATTTAGCCCTGTTTGCTTTTCATTTATTGGTTGCTGCTCTTCACTATTTCTTCTTTTATCTCTTATTTTAATTTGCTGATTTTCAGCCTCACATTTGCATGTGAAGCTAGTGATTTCCCTGTACAACTACCTTTAGCTGTGCTCTGCAGGTTTTATTGTGTTCTCTATTACTTCAGTTTTTTCATTTTTGTCATGATTTCTGTCTTGAATCATTATTTAGATGTTGATGAATTTTGGGACATTTGGGAGGATTTGCCAATGACCGTGTTATTCTTGATTTCTAATTTTTTACAGTCAGTTAACATACTCTTGAATGATCTCAGCCCTTAAAATTAGTCGAGACTCCCTTTGTGGCCCAGGGGATTTGCAGGTGTTGATAAATGTTCAATATTTACTTGAAAAGAAAGTGAATTCTACACTTTGCCGTCTTTTTCAGTTAGATCAAATTTTGTTCATTATTTTACTATTTTTGTATGTGTTTTATTCTATGAAAAGCTTATTGAAATCTTTTTCACTATGGTTGTGGTGTATACAAATAAGTACACACACACACATCTAGAATTGCGTTGTTTCTTATCTTCTTCATGGACTGGCTTTCCTTGATTATCTCCAGGACACCTTCATTTGGAGACCTGGTATGAGCAGGCCCCCAGTGTTCTTTCCTATCTTGAGGAACACAAATAAAGCTGCCCCTCAGTTTGCGCTGGTCCAGTCTGCTTAGCCGTGTGCTCAGCCACATGTGGGGTGTGGGTGACGGCTAGAAGTGCTGCCAATGGCTGACCCAAGCTTCTAGCTCCCCACAGGAGAACCCTCAGGGTAAAGAGGAGTCACCTCACCTAAACCTTGCCCTGCCACCTTTCCTTGGGCTGAGGGTAGGTGCCAGGGAGCTTGTGTCCTGATGGCACTGGTAACTAGCTTCCATTTGCCTCCCGTCCTGGAAGCTGGAACTTTCTGCCGCTCCCCTCTCTGCAGACCCCCACTGCACAGCTTCTCATGACTGTGCTTTCTTTCTTTTGCAGTACGTTCACCACAGCCCCAGGAATTCGAAGCGTGGGTTTGGCATCGACTGTGCCATCCTCTCCTGCCAAGTCTACATCGCCCAGATCCTGGTGGCATCTGCTCTCGGGAGCTTGGTTGACATTGTGGGGACTGTCCGTGTCATTCCCATGGTGGCCTCTGTGGGCTCTTTCTTGGGCTTGCTCACAGCTGCATTCCTGGTGATCTATCCTGACGTATCAGAGGAGGCCAAGGAAGAGCAGAAAGTCTTATCTGTGCAGCCCACTGGTGATGGTGATGGCAGAGATGACCCCTCAATCCTGAAGCTCTCTCGGAAGGAGGGTCTGCAGGGCCCCGTGGAGATGGAGTCTATGGTCTGAGCTTCCACTCACACATTCCACGTGGGAGGCAGTTGTAGGGTAGGTTTGAGTTATTAGGCAAAATTATCACACTAATTGCTTTTTTTCACAATTAAAAAATCATTAGAATTTTTTAAATTAAGAATCTCTTTTAATTTCAACTGTCTTATTCTACATGTTTTTACACTGTAAAACATTTATAATATAGTTATGTAACTTAGAAAAAAATGGGATTTTTGCCTTTCTGAAACTATAATGAAAATGCAAGACCTTCAGACAAGAGCAGTGTAGTTGGTGACTAGAACACCCTTCCCAGGGATCCCTCTGACACCCACAGGTATGTGAGTGCCGCTCAGACCTTGTTATGTTCCCCTGCTGTTGTCACTATTGGAGAGCATTATTTATGATTATTTTAAGCAAAGGGTTTTTTTTTCTACCACTTTGTTTTTCCCTCGGAGAATCTGATGCATTGTGCCCAGTGTCACTGTGCTCAGGAACAGCCACACATCAAAGCTGGAGAGGCCCCCTGAGGTGGCCACGGACAGACAGACCAAAGGAGAGACACACACCAACCCCTGGATGGGATTTGAACTCCCCAATCCAGTGCTATTTATGTCATCCGTGTGAGCAGGTCCATGTGCAGACCCCACCCAGCTGTCCATGCCTGGAGCTCCTCAGCCCAATCCCCAGGCTCCTCCCTGTACTTTGACTCATCTACACCTTGGCTGGAGATGTTACAGAGCTCCAGGTGGGCACTGGCCTACAGCCCTGCTGCCAGGCTACCTTGAGTAGGGGCTGAGGGTGGGCAGCAGCCTCCAAGCAGGACACATGAGGCAAAGCCTCCTTCGCTGCCATGGCAGGGTATGCTCGCTGCAACCTGTCTGAATCTTGTGACTTTCTCACCTGCTGACCTGCTTATCACTGGGATTAGAGGCAACACAGACAACAGCCAAGTATCTGGAAGCCCAACCAAGCACTGTATTCTGGTTCCACAGGCAAGCACAACTCAAAGGCTACAGCTGTTTGGAACTTTTTCAAACCATGGTCTCTTTATTCAAAACTAAGCAGTTTCTGCTTTTCGTACATAAAATAGTCAGTCTAAGCTTTCTGAGGTCAGGAGGAAGAGGCCCTGCACATCTCACAGACAGAATCAAATCTTTCATAATTGCTACCTCAAGTCCATGTTTTTTAAATAAAGTACTTTAAAATACACGAGAGTCGTACTGCAATGTGACCATTCTAAGGCAAATATAATACATATTGATAGATTTTTCCTTGGTGCTGTAGAGAAGCAGGAGTGGAAAAAGGCCTTTTTGCGGGCATAGGAGGGCTGCAGTAGAGTGCAAGATCCCCTCAGGGCAGACAAAGAAGCCAGGAGCTTTTATGCAGTTTGACATGGAGTTTGAAGGGGCGGGCACAGTGACATTTTGACAACTGATTGGGGGAATGTGCAAAAAGCGGGAGGTTTGATTTTTGAGTTTGGAAGAAGACTTTGGAAGTCAGTGCTGACAGCATGCACTGTCTAGCACCATGGAAGTTGGTGGCATACAGGAGGGGGCACAGGTTGGCAGAGGCCAGGAAGAGCGAGATCAGGTGTGAAGTGTTGGCAGGAAAATGGTGCCAGCAGGATGGAGGGAGAACAGGAGGAAGAAGGTGATGCAGAGGGGAGAAGACGGTGACAGAGAAGAGCAAGAAGGGTCTCATGGATATGGAGGGAGGGGGGCAAAGGCAAAAGGGACGTCATCTTAAGGGTCAGTGGGGTTGTGAGTAGTGGGTAGGGCCAGAAGAGCTTGGGCTGCCCCACATGCATGAATGAGGGGGAGATGGGTCCTGTGAGCAAAAAGGCCTGGATATAAGGATCTAGCAAAGGTGAGGAAGTGGCGCCTAAGGCTGCTCTCAGTCTGCACTGCGATTTCATTCCTACATACTTCATGATGACCCCCTGTAGGGACTGCATGAGGGTACTCTTCCCCCATCTGGCTGGCATTTCTCCCACAGGCCCACCCCATGCTGGCAGGTATATGCTCTACACAGCACTGCCCACTCCTAGATTGCTGTGCCTGGCCCCAGGTTTCCTCATCAAGTAATGCCATTGTCACCTACTGGCCACTTTGGCCACACCATGAAAGAGTAGGGACTTGTGATGCCCCAGGAGCCCACCCAGCTGTTCAGCACAGTGCCACTGCCAGGCAGTGGGTGGTAGCAGTGGAGCAGAGTCCCTCAGGAGAGGTAGGAGTCCCACTTTTCTGTGGGAATCTTTGACCACAGGAAGTGGCTAGTTAGCTGAGCACAAGATGGAGAAGAATGTGATGCCAGGGGCATCTGATTAGGGATCTACAGGTGCCAGTTTCTGGTCATGGGTGAGGAGAGGGTTGGGAAGGTCCCACCACTCCCAGCAGAGCAGGTGGAGAGCGGAGAGGGAAGTCCTAGGGGGAGTGGTCCCACAGCCAGGGAGGAGGAAACAACCCTGTGGGCTGAGCAAAGCCCTTGTCTGAAGCAGCCTCTACCTCACTCTTCTGCATATGACAGCAGCCATCTGGAGCAAAGGCCTGCAGGCATGAGGACACCACCCGAGCACTCCAACAAGCACTCCCATCGGTAGGGCTGCAGATGGGGCAGCAGCCACTGGAGCACTCAGTGACTGTCATCCTAAAGGGTTCACAGAGGTGACTCATAAATGGGTGAGATTCTGAGACACTGCTGGGCTTAGAAGTGCTGGACAGGTGGCCAAGAAGCCAGGCCAGCAGGCTCAAGCTTCCTGTCCTAAAAGGAACTAAGTGTCCATGTGCCAGAGAGACTTTGGGGGTCTCCAGGGCTGTGGCTCTGCAGAGGAAGCAAGTGGTCAACTCTAGACAGAAGTGTGGCTCTAGATGCTCCTGGGTGCAGTCCAGCCACAGACCGAGCCGAAGCAAAGCCGTGCTGTGCCATCCTCCAACTCCTGCATGCAAAAGCCAGCAGGCACCATCCCTGCTCCATGGACCCCATGCCAAGCTCCCAGGCAGCACCATATGGGCACTGCAGCACAGACATCAAACGGGGTCCTCTGTGAGACACGCTGGCACCCCATCAACAACAGGCTCCTGTGGAACTCAAGCCCCAATGGCCAGACACACAATATAACATGCACAACATACACAACTACAGGTGTACGCACTGTAACATGATAAAAGCATAATAGGTTTGGGGGTGCAGTTCAGTGGCACACTGCCTGCCTGGGAGCACATAGGTGTGAGCTCAATCCCCAGGAACAGAAAAAGAAAAACATTAACAGTGCATAGTCTACATCTTCTATGATTCCAACATTATATTACTCATGAAGAATTATATGCACACTCAGGCCTCCAGATCCAAAGGAGCGCCCTTATGGATTCAATTAATTCTTGGCAGAAAATTAGGGTATTCAGAAAAAATGCACCAGCACTGAACAGGTGCACACTTGATCACTTTTCCTGAGCAATACAGTGTAACAACTAGTAGAGTACATTTACAGGAAGTGGAGTTAAAAGCAACCTGGAGATGAATCTATGAGAGATGTGTGCAGATTGCACACACATATCTTGCCATTTTACTAAGGGACTTGAACTTCCAGATATTGGTATTAGTGGGGTCCTGGGACCAGTTCTCTAGGGACACATAGATAGATACAGTTTTGGGTCCCTGGCCTGCTCTGTGTGGCAGCACACATCTGGCTGTGGGATTAGCCACAAAGAAAGATGCAGGACCTCACCCAAGGCTCCTTTCTCAGAACTTCTTGGTGTGGGGAGGAAGGTCCCTAGGTCCTAGCTCCAGGCCCAGCTGGCTCGGCTCAGGGCTGAGAATTCCACTGCTGCTCCTTAGCTGCCAAGTCTTAGCTCCCCCACATTTACCTCTGTGACAAAGCCCAGTTCTTCTGGACAACTCTGACCTCTCTGTCTCTCACTGCTCATTTTAGCTCCAGACACTTCCCACAAGTAAGCATGAGGCACCAATGTCACCACCATGACGCATTCCAAACAGTCGCTCTGGACAGCACCTGACCACACAGACCTGCCATGCATGACAGCCCAGCACACCCTGTGGCTCTCAATCCAGTATCACCCTCAATCCTGTATCACCCTCAATCCTGCTCAAAACATGACAACACCGTTAAGACAGTGGGTCTCTCAGAGCTGGTCTCTAAGGGGACAAAAGCAGCAGGGCAGCCCCAACTTCCAGACAGTGGTCTTCTTCTGCAACACAGTCCCTGCCTGGCAAGTGTGAGGTTGTGGGTTCAATTTCTGGTACAAATAAAAAGGTACATTCTGTGTAGGAACCTGTTCTGCCATTGAAAAATAACACAAATCTACCTGGGGTGGAGCCCTACAGAAGCAAAAGTGAGCAAGAATGGTCTGAAAGAGGTGAGGACTCCTAATTGGGGACTCCAGTTTATAGAACAGAAAACAGTGGCTTCACTTTGTGGATGAGGGGGCAGGGCACGTGGGCAAAGGGGTTCTGCCACAGTGCCTGGGCACATATGCCACCAAACGTGATCAGAGGTGTGGCCACCAGGAGGGCTCTGAGTGCAGGTGACTTCGAGGTCCTGTGCAGTGCCCAGCCCCTAGCAGGAACTCCAGGGAGTGCCAGCATAATGGCTGGGCAGCACATGTCTAAGGCAGGAAGGGGCAGAAGCGACTCTGATCTGCAGAAGTCTCTGGAAGCCACTTCTCAGGGTGGCACTGCAGGCAGAGTACAGAGGAGGCTCTGATGTCTCTCAGCTGGGACCTGGTGGGTCTGATTTGAGGCCAGGACCCTCAAATCACTGACTGCACTGGGCAGCAACCCATGTCACAGGAGCCAAGTGTCTACAAGGGGAGCCAGCAGTGCCAACAGCAAGACAAGAGCACCACACAGGAGAAAGCGGAAAGGAGGAAGCACGCAAAGGAGCGCAAGGAGGACAGGCCACCATGGAGACCCAGGACTGGACACAGTCCTGTGCACCAGCCAAGTCCTGGATCACCATGTGTAGGATGCTGCCCACATGCCCATGTCACAGTGGGCCCTAAGGCACTCCCTGTGGAGGCAAAGGGTGGGCACAGATGCCAGTCTCCCCCCCATCTGCAGGCAGGGGCAACAGGTCCAGGGCACCATGCTGACAGTCTCTCCCCAGGGCACCAAGGAGGAGCCGGAGCCTCGAAGTCTATCCTATGCTGGCAAAGGCCTGGCTTCTAGAGAGCAGGCAGACATGCGCAGACACAGAAGGAAGCCTGTGCTGTGGAAAAGCGGCCACGGAGGCCTCTGAACAGTGCAGGGCCTTGGCGGGGGGGTTGGTCAAGGGACCACTGAAGGCAAGCAGGTAAACTAGCAGGCAGCAGAGTGACAATGTTTACCCAGCATGCTCTCGTGAGGATACACACTGCAGAGCGCCTCACGTCCCTAGCTTTATCACACTTGTCTGACAAGTGGGGCTCTGGAGGTCACGAAGCTGCAGTGCTGCAACCAGAATCACTGAGTCCCAAGAAAGACACCAGCGGGGGCTGGGGATTTAGCTCAGCGGCATAAGCGCCTGCCTTGCGAGCAGGCAGTCGTTGAGTTCGATCCCTGGTACCGATAAAAACGAAAAAGACAAAAGACACCAGCATGCCATAACCACAGATCTGCTCACCGTCATCACAGCACAAGGCCAGAATTCCATAAGGTGACCACACAGTAGTTAGGTAACCAGGGCAATCTGATCTAACCAATAAAGTGGACCTAAATCAAAAACAGTAACAAAAAAGTTGAGTAGACTTTTCATTTTAAAACAAGCAGGACAGGGCTGGGGATTTAGTTCAGCGGCATAAGCACCTGCCTTGCAAGCAGGCGATCGTGATCCCTGGTACCGATAAAAAAAAAAAATTAAAACAAACAAAAAAAAAAAAAAAAAAAAAAAAACAAGCAGGACAGCTTAGCACTGGGCTGCTCTGATGTTTGTAATCAATCCACAGACACTTGCTAAGTGACCAGTAGTGAAGGTTCTTCTGAAGCCTTCCTGGATGCCATTATCCACTGGAACGTAGGACACAAGAAGACAGGCCTACAGCGGTACCCTCACAACAGGCTCAGTCAAGCACCCCCTTCCCAGCCTCTGAGGTCCACTCTGATGCTGGGGACAAGGAGGAAGGGCGACTCCCTGGCAGGCACTGTGCCTGCACCTGGGAAGACAGCACACCTGGAAGATCTCTGTGAGGCCCCCAAAAGGGCACCATGGAGGCCTG